CCCGCCCCAAATCTACACCACTAGCACATACACGCACGCGCTTAGATAATACCCCAAATCTACACCAACCCAAAAGAAAAAAAGGGTTTACAGCAAACAATGCCTCGAAAAGGAAAATGTATTTTTGAAAAATTCATTACCATAAGACAAGGAATTTTAAAGAAAAAACATTGGAGTGATTATAAAAAAGAAATCCTAAAACCCAATCTCAAGAAAATTTCACAGTAACTTATCAAAAATCTACCTTTGACAGCATCGCAACTAAATCTCCATCTTACACATACAGTAAATGCATTTGATTGTTTAATACCTACAGAATTCAAAATGCATGTGCAGGTAACTGGTAGTAGCCATATTGCATCTTCAATCTCATATGCATAGAATTGAAGGTGTGACACATCGAAGATAAATTACTATGATAGGTAAGGTATTATATTGGAAGAAAAGCAATGGCCGGTACACGTAATAAGGGCAAAGCAAAAGAAAGCTGACAAGATACCATAGCTTCCCGCGCAGGGGCTCATGCATAAGGAAATTGATATCCTTCACATGATAGTAAGTTTTTTGGCTGCCTGCTATCTTCTTCTTTGGCTCTCGAGGGAAAACGCCCTTAAGAATACAAAGCTTCCTGCACAAAAATAAATATATATATCAAAGAATGTTTCATCACACAAAGAAAAAAAAATCAGAAAATCAAAGTTAGAAACAGAAGGAGAAAATTCTCGAACACTATCTCCAATCACAAACTTTCACACGAGAAGGAAGAAATCGCAAAACTCGGGCAGCAAAATCACGGTAAGTGGCAAAAAAGTAAAATACGACACACCTGAAGAGAGGAAGACTGACTTGAAGATTATGCACTGCCTTCGTTCTCGTGATAAACCTGGCGGCAGTACCCTCTTTCTTTTTCCCCTACAAAAATGATGTCCGACCATATGATGAAAACAAAAAGTAGATGGGAAAAAAATGCAATTCATCAATTAATTTGACGATTAGTTGAGCATAAAAGCATTACGGGAGGCCTGTAATGTTTAGGCATCTTTGAAGAAGAGCTTGAAGCCTCTGGCTCTAATTAGACGAAGCCAATGGAAATGCTTCAAGCGCTAGGGCTTCAGGTCTTTATAAGTGTACGCAAATGAGGGATCACTGCCTCCGGTGACCGGACCAGAAATTAATAGGGATGAAAGGAGGCGGCGCCCGGCGACTAAACTTGATCGGCGAGACACGATCACAGTTCGGGCTGATTGAGGATGTGAAGATAAGAAAAATTGGTGTTCTACGGCTGCATCGTTGTGGTGATAGCGAGACAAAGCATGAGGGTTTAGTTCGGGGCAGATCCCGTCGTTGAGTTCCCAGATAGCTCCAATTGCGACTGTATCGCGAGGGTTCAGTGACGGGCGATGCTTTTGAACGAATCAAAGAGGGGGAGGGACGTGCGAGCGTTTAGGGGACAGCAGCAATGGAGGCGGCGGGGCTGCGGGGAGCAAAGGGTATTGTAGGCGAGGGTTTCATTAATTCTATTCAAGTTAATTTTATTAATGTTAAACTTCTTTATAACGATTAATTTAACAAAAAAAAATTATTAATAATTAATTAGCTTAATAAATAGCATGTTTTGAAATAAAATATTAATTGAATTTAACGATTTAATTTCAAACATTTTTCAGTATTTAACCAACTTAGGATTTGATAAATCTAAATTTACACGATTTAATAAAATATATTTAAACTAAACCTACTTGTAATCAAATAGCCCTTCCGTGTCATAAACTGATGCATGAAAATATTTATTTCACTTTGATAAAAATTAATAATGATGGTATTTTTTATGTTCCATCGTGAATTTGAGCGGTATGCATTAAAATATGAAAGTTTAAGTACCGTGTATGTAACACATGAAAATTATATGTATGCAAATGCCCGCAATATTTGTGTTTTTTTTTTTTCAAGCACAACTTAGAAGAACTCAAATTTTTAGCAAATGTGTTAAACAGTAAATGAACAAATTAAGCAATTAAATTATTTTATACCATATATTTCACATCTAAGTTTTTCTATTTACATTTCAAGCACCAAAAATGTTAAAATGTACATATTCCAAAATGCCCAGCTCTACCTAATAGATCCGCCATTTAGCCATAATGCTCTAACTTTGGCTTTATTTTATAAACTTTTAGCAACCTATCAAAATGTCTAACTCCCTGTACAAGCCCACTGTGACAACAAGCACCAAAAACACCTAACAAAATACCTCACTGTGTTGAACTCCTTGATACAACATTTGAGGGAAGAGATTAACGCACTCTAAGCCAAATCCATTAGTTGTCAATCTGTTAGTCACAGCATTATACATCTTTTTCGGCAATCTATGAAACATGAAGAAGGAATCTATGATCCGTTCGCACTTTGACACCTTATCAATCAATGCACCTCCAACAACGGAGTTCAATTCCATGCTATTAGGTATAGCTCATATACCATATAAGGGACGGATGTTGGAGCGGAGCACAGCTCGCGAGCGTAGCGAAGCTAAGGATAGCTCGCGAGCGTAGCGGAGCTAAGGCATCTGTCTAATTGAGAGAGTTTCGTTAAGCGGGTTAGAGGCAACCTCACACGGGACGGTAAAGGGTAATTTTCCATATATATATATATATATATATATATATATATATATATATATATATATTGTATTGGTAAGCCTGCTGGATTTACTGTTTTCAAGTAATTAAAAGAAGCCGCCGCTCATTCCTCCGGAGGATGTAGGCACATTGTTGAATCTCGTTAAATCCTTGTGTTCGTTCTTGATTGTTCTGTTGATTCTTGTGTTTCTTTGCCCTAATTTCTCAACCCTTGACAATTCTGTTGATGTGGCTATGAACCCACAACCCTTGTTCCTGTGCTCCCAGATAAGCGCATACAACCAAAACACTTGAAAGAGTAAGGGTCTGTTTGTGACAGCCATTCTCATAAATATGGACAAAGTTTCTCTTAAATTGTTGGACCGTACAAAACCATATGTCAAAGAGACCCAAGATACCACATTCTCAAAGGCATTTCATCAAACGCTTTTGCAGCATCGAAGCAACAGCTGCACTTCGCATACATGTCTACAAGCGCAGAGCCAACAAAGACGTCTACTTTGACCCTCTCGGATTCCATATAAAATCCTTGAATGCTTCTCCCAAGCCAAAGATCACCTTGTCAATTTATAAACCCAAAGATCTCATATTGATGAAGTAATCTAACGTAGTTTTGGGCAATTGTTCTTTACATGCCATTGAATCATGACATTCCAAGAGATAAAATTATTCTGCTAAATTTCATCAAATAACTTACAAGCAGAGTTCAAGTAGCAACCTTTGTCATAGCACCACAGAAAGCAAATATTTACAAAAGAATCATATTCCAAGGTTGATAATGTGGGCATGGATCTTTATTGGATTTCCAGAGCCATAGTTGGAGAGGGATTTGAGAATGATGGGGAAAGTGTGCTTATTGGGAGCCAAACCATTTTGCAACATTTCAGTAAATTTAGAGACTGCTGCATCGGAACTCGAGGGATGGCTTTGGAGCATGGTGTTCCAGAGCCATTGGGACGTCTGAGTGTTTGATTCCGTGGAAGAGGGGATAGGCAGGGTTTATGTAGTTGGGAAGAGAGAGTGCTGCGAAATGGAAGATTTTGGCGACGGTGTTGGCATCTCCGGAGAGGCAGCGGTTCATAAAGAGGATGGAAAAAATATTATCTCAGTAGAACAGTACTCCAATGGGGAGGTGCCACGTGGCATTATGGTGAGATTATTGCATATGTGGCACCTCCTCATTGGAGTATTGATGTATCAATACTCCTGAGGTAATATTTTTTCAAGGAGGAGGTGGGGATTTTCATTCGGACAGAGAAGATGGAGACCTAATGAAGCTCGAATTTTATATGGTAAAAATATTTTATCTTCTTTCATTCTTTTATTATTTTCAATTAAATCATTTTCTTTTAATCAAATTTGTACTACTACTAAAAATGGGTGCCTGTTAAAGGCGATCATATTTTTTCTCAACTTGATATATCATCTCTATCTAATGATCATCTGGCTCAAGCCTCTAACAAAAAAAGTATTTCTAATGCTATTATTTGTGATTATAAATGGATTAAATAAACAGGTAAATGCTCTTAGTTATCTAAAGGTGAAGATGATGTAAAATTTATTTATCAAAGAACTAAAGTTCAACATAACTATAACTTTATTAAATAAATTTTGGTTAACAATGGTATATTCATAATTAAAATGATATTATTCATAAACCTATCTCTCTTTTACTATTTTTTGACAAAGGGTTATTGTGAGAATGTTGTTATTATGAATGATGTTTTCCCTATTAACAATAAAAAATTTTAAGAGGTCTTCTACATTTTAACTCTTTTTTTTTTTTTGAAAAATGATATTAAGAATGTTTTTTTCCAGATGAGTTTACTTCCAATTTTTTTAAAGAATCTTGACAAATCATTGAGGATGATTGTATTAAAGCTATTAATTTCTCTTTCTATAAAATTGTCTCATAGAATCAAACATACTACCTTTGTTGTCATTTCAAAAAAAATTGATGCTATATCTTTTTTTGATTTTCAGCATATATCCTTATGTAATACTATTTATAAAGTTATTGCTTTACTTTTAGCTGATAAACTTAAAGTTATTCCCACAAGTATTATTAGTCTGACCTAAGCTATCTTTATAAAATGTCATGATATTGTTAAATATCATCATTGTTAATGAATTACTTTATAGTTTTAATTCTAACAATTCTTCTTAGCACTTCTTGTGTTAAAGTGGATATTTCTAAAGCTTTTGATAAAGTTAATGGAAACTTTATTTGTAGGACGATGTATGATTCCTCCCATTCTAATTGAATTGATATATGATTGCACTGTTGATGTTAGTTCTTCTGTCATCATAAATAGTGAGTTAAAGATTATTTTTATACTGCTTCAATTTAGAGGCAGTGGTATCCTTTTTCATCATATTTGTTTTTTATTATTATGGATACTTTATTTGTTAGTATTGAACATAATTCTAGTTTGAAAGTTTGTCTTTCAATCTTTGTTGAAGATATTTTGATTTTTTGTATAGTTGATATTCATTTTATTACTTCCTTTAACAATATTTTTTATATATTTTGTAAAGCCTCAACTTTTTATAATAATGCTTCCAAATCTATTATTATTTTTTCTAAATCAGTTGATTTTTCTACTTAACATAATATATCATCTTTATGTGGTTTTGTCTTAAAACTTTTTTTCTGTAATTAACTAGGTATCACTATTTATCATTTCAAACTAGTTATTTTTTATTGTCATTTTTCTTATTGATAAAATTCATTATTTGTTTGTGGGTTGGAAGTAAAAACTTCTGTCTACTGTTGGCAAGCGTCGGCTCATTAAATTCACTATATGTAGTTATCTTTATTATTAGTTTTGTTCTATGATTTTATTTAAAGAACCAAAAAAAAAAAAATCTCATATATGATTTCTAATTTTCTTCATAATAATGATAATGAGAAAAAACTTTATACTATTGCTTGGGACAAAGTTACTACGCAAAAGCATCGTGGTGTTCTCGAGCTCCCTTCCTTATACACCATAAATATTATATGTAATTCTAAAATCATTTGAAATTTTTTTAAACTAGTTCTATTTTATCAAAATATTGTTTTAATCATTATGCTCCCCTTTGGTTCAATTTTTTTTGAAAATTTTAATTAAAATTACTAAAATGATAAAACCTTATTTAACTTATAAAAAATATTGATAATTATCAATTATTGTTTTTTTATCATTCTTTGTTTAATGATTTATTTTTTAAAGAGAACTTTGGTGATATCATTTTCTCTTAATTTAATATTTATTTCAATGTTAAAATTTGTGATGCGTTTTGTAATAATTTTTATAATTTATTGAACTTTGCTAATGCTCTTGATTTTTGTATCAATGCTACTCGCAATATTCTCGTATCTTATGATTTTTCTTCTCTTTGGAATAATACTAATATTTATCACCACATGTTTGTTTATTTATTTTTATGTGATATTTTCTCTTGCGCAGATTGATTTAAACTTATTTGGTTTTAAGAATTTTCT